AAAAAAAAAAAAAAAAAAAGCTAAGGAACAAGTTAAGAGTAGAAAATATTTATTATAATATTTTTACCTAACTTAGTTGCTCATAATAGTAGGACTTGGGTGACTATTAGCTTTCTTAGTTTTGTGAGGAAGTGTTTTAGGGTGTTCATACACAAGATCATGACATCTGCAAACAATGACAATTGGACTTGCCCTTCTACTGTAAGGATCCGTGGGTCTCAGTGTGATCCGTTCTACCCAGAGAAAAAAGGTGGGAAGGATGAGGAAAAGATAAACAAGAAGGTAAGAGCTGGGTTAGATGGTGGCCCGTCTGCCTGATTGGCAAGACGACCCCACAAGCAACACTATGGACTTTTATTTATACCTTTGCAAAGTTAGTAACATGTGACACAAGGTTGCCTAATGACTAATAGTTGGCATTAATCAGTCAGGATGCTTATCTCAGGACTGAAGTAGCTTGTTTACTTTGGGAACTGAGGCCTAGACCCGCCTACACACATTTAATAATTTTCCAGCATTCACAGCTCCCAACCTTCTACTATGCCCTTTGTTTCCGAAACTATAGAATGCCTCATAAACTTGCTTGTCATCCTTGCACAGGGACAGTGCTGATTTACTTAATGTCCTTTCAGCTTTAGCACATTTGCTGCTGAAAACGGTTCCATTTAGCTCATTCTCAATTTCCTTATCACAGAGATTCTGACACGTGCTGCCAAAGCCGCGTCACCATCTTGGGCCAACCACCGATGGAACTGATTGCCAGGCACATTGCTGCTCTAATGATGTTCAGCTGTGAAAAAGAAAAAGTAGCGCTCTTTCTGGGTGAGTCACCTCGAATTGCCTTCGGTGGTCCTTTGTCAGCTACTTGCCAGCTGGTCTGTGAAAGCCACACATCCCTGTTAAAACAATCCAGTGTCCTTGGGCTTTGGAGAAGTCAGTTGGCTGCCTCAGGGAGAAAAGGTAGGGCTGAAAGGATGGATAAAGGGCAACGCAGATGACGGGCCAGAAGCCCATGAAGCACAGGAATTTTTAAGTGATTTTAAAGTCCTTGACAAATATGTGTTCTAGGTATGAAATGGTAAAAAGAATTAGATCAAGGTTTTGATTCTAGTCTCTTATCTTGGTACTCTTTGGCAATATTAATTATCTCTCTGGCTCCAGTTTTTTCATATCTTTTTTCATAAGACTATCAGGTTTACTCAAGATTCCACATTCTACTTTTAATTTTCAGAGAAAGATTTTCTTGCCCCTTGCAATTGGGTGTCTTGCTCAGTAGGTCACTGACAATCTTTACTTAGCTATCTGCACAGGAGGCTTGTGTGAAAGTCAGGGCTGGCACCTAAGCCCTCCTGTCTTCGCTGCTCTGAGACCTAGGAATGCTCTTTGAAATATGCTCTGGAATTTCAGTTTCCGTAGCTCCTCCCTTACAAAGTTCGACATTCTCCTCTAGTGTTGGGCTTTTGTTAAACATGCCCTTGGGAAGACCGGTTCAGCAAGGCAGAAAGATCAAGGAGTTCAAATAGCCAGAAATTCTACCATGCCCTGTCACAGAAAGCAACTAATAGGAAGTCCAGGAACAAAGCCAGCCCAGGAGGAGTTTGCACCCTCCAGAACTCAGTAAGTCAGCAAATAATAAAATGGCAAACAACATGCACAGAGTTTGTCTTGAAGAAAATGTCATGAACTCTCAATTAGATCAGCATACACTAAAGTGGAGGCAAAGTAAGAGAAATGCAAAATTAAGCTGTAGTGAAGAAATATTTTCAACTATATCTGGTTAGCAAACACATCAACGCTGCTGCTGTTTTTCAAGAGGGAATGAGTATGTCACATTCAGTGTGGGCAGGAATGCATCTGCATGAAGTTACAAGAAGGGACATTTGGCACTGTCCTTGGAGAAACAAGTGCACGTGACTCTTACCTACCAATTACGCCTCTAGTGCTGTCACCCATGGCAGCAACTCTCAAACTTCTTGGTTTCAGAGGCACTTTACACCCTCATTACTGAGTGGCCAGGGCTTGTTTGCCCATCTATCTATTGATATTTACAATATTAGAAATTAAAATGGAGAAATTTTAAATATGTTTACTATATTGTAATATAAAAATAAGACCACTAATAGTAGCATAAAAAGTACATTAAAATTGTATTTCAGACACAAATGATGAAAAGAAGGCAATGATTTATATTTTTACAAATTGTTGTGAAGCCAGGATTAACAGAAGACAGCCGCTCCTGTGCCAGCCTGGGCTGCTGGGGCTGACGCCTGCGCAGAAAACCTCCCCTCGTTCCTAGCGGAAATGAGGAGGGGAGGCTCTTGCCTAGAGTCTGGGGAGTTGCAAGACCTGTTTTGCAAAGCTGGCCAACTCACATAAGTGAAATCATGATTCTCCACTAAAGTACAACTTCAGAAGCAGAGGACTGGCAACAGTCCAGGCACCTTTTATTATATAAATGAGTCAGAATAAATTATGCCTCATTTATGTAAGGAAATTCTATGCAATCATTAAAATAAATGAAGTAGGTCCCTATGTCCAGACATGGACCAGTCTGCAAGGAATGGATGGCTAGCTGGTGCACATGGAAGGCATATCATTAAGTACAAAGTAGAAGATAAGGGGAAAGTCTGTTAGCACTTATGTGCACTTCTTTGTTTCTTTCTTTCTTTCTTTTTTTCTTTCTTTTTTATGTATTTGGTACAGGGTCTCACTGTGCAGCTCAGACTCATAGTGGTCCTCCTGTTTTCAGCCTCCCAGTGCTGGGATTACAAGCGTGCACCACCATGCCTGGACTTGGTCGCAGGCTCAGAGCACCTGAGGCAAGGCCAGTGCAACATGCGGGACCAGGGAATAAACTCTGGTCCCTGTGCTTGCCAAAGCAAGTGCTTAGCCCGCTGAACTAGCTCGCCAGCCCTTCTGTGCATTTCTTATGAGATTCATATCCAGAAAGAAGTTCACTAAGGCATCACTGGCAGCTGCTGCCCCAGGGGGAAGAAGGGGCACAATGGTACCCCCACACTGCTCACTGAAATTGCCTTTGTTCTTTTCAAACATTGTGTCATGTGCATATGCAATCCAATAGAAAAGTTAATTAATTAAATAATACGAATGGCAATTTTAACCTGTTTTGCAAAGTAAAAGATGAAATAAACAAAAGCATGGGAAAATGCCTGAACCAATGAATTTAATAAATGTTGCTATAACAGTTTTTGCTATTATTGAACAGTAGAATAATTCCAGTTTCTGTTGGTCAGTTTCCAGAGCCTCACCTCTTCAGTGTGCCCACAGTACTGCAGCCCTAAGTGCCTCTTTTGAAAGTGATTCTAGGTTTTGTCTGAATAGCACAACACAACAAATTAGCTCCATATACCTGTTAAATCTTAATTTTTAAGTGTAAGCATTTCATGTAAATATGTTTTTGCTCTTCAAATCAGTCTTGAAACAGCATCTTGTCTTTTGCCTTTGCGTTGTATACCCCTATTAGAGCGAGCCTTCCAAAACTCCAGGGCCTTTCTGCCTTCTGCCTGCTTGGTCAGAAAAATGACATACATAATTGACACTCTGTAGTTGCTTATGGTGGGTGTGTTTCTCTTCTCTAAGGACTTATTTCCATTTTGAGCTCTTTATGCTTCCTACACACACTCCCCAGATTTGTGCTTACAATCCAGCCCATTGATAAAGAGTGTGGCATGATGCACAATGATTCATTATTCTGGTGTACTTGGTCTTAGACTTAAGAGACCAGGCCACACTGATATTTCCTCCTCCATGTTATTCCATAACCACATCTAAATTTAAGATTCAATCTGTTTAGGAAAAATGTTACACCCACAAGGAATTCAGAATTGCTTTATCCCATGTTTTAAATAGCAAAAGTAGGAATAACCCTTTGACACCCATATCATGAATGGAGAAGTATTAGACCAATACAGCCCAAAACAAGGCCCGTCTTGTCAGATTGCTCAGATATCAAGTTTATGTGGTCATTACTATTTTTTCTTCCTCAAAACATTGAAATAGGGTTAAAGGCAAAGGTCCATCCATATTTTCTTGTTAGAATGGCCCACTCTCTGGGCTCAAATAAACAGAACATTTTCCTTATAGCTCTTTCCAACCTGCATCTCTTCAGTGATAATTATAAATCACAGGTGATTTTGAGTTGAAAATAAATTCAATACCATTATCAAAGCTACATACAAGTGGAGATGTTTCTAGATGAATGATTATCTTGATTTTGAAAGATGTGTATGATTTATTTTAAAGATGAAATTAGTGTGAGGATTGATTTCACTTTCTTGCCACCCTTTGCTATTACTCAACTGAAATCTATTTCCCATGTGAGCCTACTGGGCTGGCCTGACTCCAAGCCTTCTAGAAGGTATAAGCCAACCTGGCTGAAGAGTCATTGCCCTGCAGGACCGTGAAGCACACTGAGATGGGACAGGTCAGGAAAGGGTGGGAGGTCTGCCAGTAGAATACCAAAACAGATAGGAGGTTCTTTTGTCTGTATACAAAAGCAGAATTTGGAGCAGAAAGTGACATTCTGGTCAGAATTCCAAGTAACGATTAACTACGAAGCATTGGAGAAAGTATTTGGAACTCAAAGAAAGCAGATCAGGGAGCTGGTAGAAAGATTCCTTCTGGAAATATCGATTATAATTTTATAGAACTCTCTGCCTGTGAGATTTTAAAATTGTCTACCCTGAACATCGGGACATTGGGTGTGAGGTCACTTTGTCTATTCATAAAGGAATTCCCCTTTTTAATTTGAGAGAGAGAGAGAGAGAGAGAGAGAGAGAGAGAGAGAGAGAGCTAGTTCCCAATATTAGAATTACATATTAAGCCAGTTAAGAACTTTGCACAAAGCAGATTTTCAAACCCTGGATTTGCAACTTTGGGCAATACATTGATGACCTAAAAGGAGTAAGGAGTCATGCACTCATAAAGAAATGTTTTGAGGACAGGCAGAAATTGCCTTATTCAAATTCCCTGGGAAATGTTCTCATCCCAGGCAGCCTGCAAAGGCTACTGTTCAGGTTGTTGCTTGAGGACCTTGCTAAGAACCCTCCCAAGGGAGGCCCAGTGCCTGTCACTTCGCCAAGGTGCGAAGGGCTCAACACATGACCCTCTGCTTCTGCTGCACTGGCAGTGAATTCTCAGTGAAGTCACAAGAGCCTCATGCTGCTAATGCAGAAATGAGGAAATTGCTTTTCCCAGGAGCTCCAAGCAGGAGTATCATGGAGGAGCCAGTAACTGGAGGTAACCGGATGTTTTCTTATTGTTGGCATCTGTGAGCAGGAGAGTAGCATCAGTTCTGAGCTGGCAAGGTCTTCTGCTCTCAGGAGCATGCCAGAACTGGGGCCAGCATCCACTAAGGGGGCCTGCTCTTACGGCAGAGCTCGCTTTCAAGGGCACAAGCAGAGGCCAAGTGGAGTGAAACTGCATGCAGGTGGAGAGCTGCATGGGCTCCCTGGAAATGCATCTGCACTCTCTCCTAAACCTTCAGGCCCCGCTGCAGTCCTCCATGCATCAGGCCCTCTCTCTGACTGGCAAGGTAGCTGTCTTTACGTCATCTTTCTTACATAAGGCCAGTTACCATTTTTAGGAATTTCCTACTTTCCCAAACAGGGCACCACCTGGCGGGTTAAATGCAGACAAC